GCAGTCCTGGATCAAGAGGGTGGAATAATCTATGTCTGGCAACAGAACTCTGCACCATGACACAGAAGCAGGGGAACCCACTCACGGCTCTCAGACAATGCGACCGCAGATATAAGAGCTTACCTTTATATCTGTTCACCTAACCTCCCAAACTTCAACTCCCTTGTGTGTGGCGCGCAGTTGAGCAAGAGACACACGCCCCTCCCAAAAACTAAATGCAAGGATAATGGCAGCATCCACTAGATTAAACAAGGAGAACCACCCAGAAAGATGCAGGAGTTTCCGAAGTCGTCTGGAGGCTGTGGTTAAAGATAATAGCAATTTAATTGAATAAATTCATTCTTTAGTATTTCAAGTTGTTGCTTAATTTTCATAAATATATCTGTTAAAATGAGAATTCAATGATAGTTTCATCTTTGCATCATTTAGACGATAATTTATCCATCGAACTCTGTATCTAATCAGCTCTTGATCACTCTTCTTAAGATGCAGTCAGTCCTCTTGCTGGTGCCCATTTACGAACCAATTCTTGTTCGTCTAGATGATGTTCGTTTGGATAAAAGAAGTATTCTATATTCCTTTCTTTGAGAAAAGTATACAAATCGTTAGAACAAAAATATTTCAGAATTAGAAAAAGCGAATAAAGCCATTTAATTGACTATCAAATAACATGTTTTTGATTAAACACTATATTCTATGATGTTAGTACTTTGTATGTTCATTCCACGAAGTCGCTCCTTGCAGATTGATCACAGATTCTCGTTTGGATTTAAATCAGGAGAGCTCCGTGCCATTATATAGTACTTTGATTTGATCACTTGTAAGTCTTCTCAGTGTGTTCGTGCAGCGTTGAAAATTTCGTACGCTACCTTGGAGTAACGTCTATCGCAGACAATGGCCGAAGGAAAACTAATCGACAGTCGAGACAATAGTGTCTGGGCCTGATAAAAGCTGTTGTAATCTCGGCTGACGCAAATGTTTTTTAAAGGCCAAACGCATTTCATCATACGCCGCAAAACAGACTCATAATACTGCACATCACTGCAAATGACCTAATCTGAGAAAAAAAAATATAATTCGTTTACAGTCTGTCACACCAGTGGGTCTAAAACTGACCGTATAGTGAAAGGAAAATGGAGCGATTGATTCAATTCATTTGGAAAAGGGCATATATATATATATATATATATATATATATATATATATATATATATTGGAATTAGTTTTCTAAAAATATGTTTCCATCGCTAAATAAGATTTCTCAAGTTTCAAAAACAGAAGCTAAAAACTTCAATTATAGAAATTAAATGGAATTAAAGTACCCATCTCTGTTTCATCCTCAAGTGAATTTTGGAATAACTAATCTTGAAATTTACGGAGCTTTATAAGCATATACATTCGTAATATTAATTAATACCAATTATTTTAATAAGGGACGTAAGGGCTTACATTTTCACTGACAACTATTGTATCAACATACTAGTTACATTCGGAAAGAGGTAAAATCAAGGTAGAGTCGGTGTGCCTATTTTCAAGCGAATGATAACATCCGTTTAAAGCATATCGCCTGGTCTATTTCAACGACAGAGAATTATTGGCATTTTTGTTTCTCCGAGGGAATAACTTAACAAAAAAAGAATATGAAGTTAATGGCTTTAAAATTAAAAAAAGCAGCACCATTTAACAAAATGTTATATGAATTTGAAATGTAACTACTCAATATAATTAAAAACATCACCTTTCAAAAAAATATCTAAACAAAATAGTAAAATGCAACATATGATAGTGATAAAATACTAGTAAAGTCTGACAAAAACTGAAACTTCTACAAACTGACGACAGACGACTACAACAACTTAATTAAAAAAATAGAATAGGACTCATAAAAAAGCTTACAATAAACATTCTAAATATAGTAGATAATATTAACAAAATTAGTAAAATTATTACAGATAAATTAATATAAGCGATGGTGTAACCAGACTTGCTGAAAGGAATGCTACATCAGTATTAAGTACCACCAACGAGATTTTGAGGAAAACACTACTACTAGAATGATAAACCCAACCCGACCCAACATCGGAAAGATAAGCAAAAAAATACCTGAAAGGATTCCTAGGCGAATTTAAAAACACCTAGTATTAACACTCTTGATTAATACCAAAGAAGTCATCAATTGGTTTACCAGTATAAACAACATCCTGATGGCACCCTAATACATTTCGATATTGTGAATTATTACCAATCAATATCAAGAGATCTATTCACGACTGCCCTTGAGATTGCTACTGTATATTCAAACCTAACAGAAGAAGAGATGAATATAATTTTTAATACAAAAAAAAAATCTATCCTCATTCATAATGAGGACCAATGGATTAAAAACACGGAAGAGCATTTTGACATCACCATAGGATCTTTAGAATCTGCAGAGTCTTCTAACCGCTTACCGTGAATTAGACATTAAGGACATCGGGCTATACAGGGATGATGGGCTCATGGTATTGAAGAGTTCCACAAATTTTAAAATAGATAAAAATAGAAAGACAATACATAGTGAATTCAGAAAACTAAGTTTAAAAACTACTGTCAAGAGAAAATTCAAAAGGGTAAATATCCTCGACATAACTTTGGACTTAGTGAACAATAATGGTAACCTTACAGAAAACCTAACACCTTGTATGTACACCATAGGTCAAACTACCCTTGATCTACAATTAAGCATTTACCCTCATCAATAAAGAAAAGAATCAGCATGAACTCCGGAAATGAAGAAATATTTCGACAACACAGTAATTTTTACAATACTAAATGCATTTGTTGAAAATTAGAACAGAAAAGTTCTAATGTCTAGTGCGTCGATCTATTCACTTAATGACCTTGTACCAAATTTATTTATCCCTAATAAAAACCGCTGTTTATTTAATCCTTATATTTTAAAGTGCAGTTTAATTTATGTAAGAGATGATTTCAGATATATTATTTTCTTCTGGTGAAATATCTATTCACAACATGGATTTAATTAAAAGCCTAAATCTTCGAAAACTTTATGTCCCAAAATGACCAGACATTAAGCAATTATCTAAAACATAAACATCTCTTCTTCATGCGATGAATAAACTGCTACGCAAGAGCCAATCAAATTTTTTTTTTGCAAATTATTGTTCATAAAAGGTACGACCTCACAATTAAATAATTGTCTAAGGAAAATTCCCTTTTTAATTGCCACTTGATCGAAATAGCGTGCACTCGACACAAGAAATGGCTGACGTGAATAATGCGTGCTATTGTAGAAAAAGGCTTCTGGTAAGAACTCTTTTCTTTCACGAGGTACTACTTGTTTACGATTATATTTTTAACGATGAAACAAATATGAACAATAACATTTTTATCGGCAAAAAATTTCTATTCAAACGACGTAAATAAATTCAAAGAAACTTATGAACAAAATCAATCTTGCTTTGTATAAACATTTGACAACTATTTTTTGTACTTTTTCCTTGATTCAATACCACAAGACAATTAAAACTGCAACAAAGTATTTTATAATGATTTGTATATCTAATTTCTTTTTATAGAACGTTGAAATAAAGATTTATCTAGACAACAGTTTTTCTCTTATCTCTGCAATTAAATTTCATTCATTTCTTTTTATGAGTTCATATTTGTTTTTGTCATGTACATAATTTTTCGATGTTGTCTTTAATTTGAAAGACTTTAATCAACTTATCAAATATAATCATTATCCAGTCGAAAAAGTCTAATCTGATTTAAAAATTAACGGAAATGAATGCTTAATCGAAATTTAGCCTTAAATTTACACGCAATTCTCTTAATAAGTGTTGCATACTACTTTTATGACCATGTATTTGGAATGAAGAATTTTCTGTACTATCATTGTTTTTTTTTTTTACTCATTTCATCCCATGTAAAGCAATGAAGTCACTAAGATGCAAGTGGTTACTGATTATTACAGAATATGAGAAAAGAAAATGTTATCAAGTAGAACAATGAACAATGAATGAAGAGGAATCAAGAAAACAGTAGATAACGATTGATATTGGTTTAAAATTTTTGAAGATCAAAGTTGTTTGGAAAGCATGTATCCGGCCAAATTCCGACAAGCGAGAAGTGTGAGAGGAAAAAAACTTTTAGCAGAGAACTTACGGTTACATGTGTGTGTTTTGTGTGTGTGTATATATATATATATATATATATATATATATATATATATATATATATATATATATATATATATGTGTGTGTGTGTGTGTGTGTGTGTATATATATATATATGTGTGTGTGTGCATGTATGTATATATATATATATATGTGTGTGTGTGTGTGTGTGTGTGTGTGTGTGTGTGTGTGTGCGTAGATCTAGATAAATCAACCGACCAGATATAAGCAACCGCATGCGCGCGTGCTGGTGTACATACACAGGCAAACAAATAAATAATCATCAAATTTATTCATGCGGTGCAAACATGACATGATGTCGTTAGACAGAGCAAAGATATACTTTAATAAATATGTATATACATATACCAAAGTTTTGGTGTGTGACTTAAGTTTCACTCGTTTCCCAGCTCATCAGGCACAAAGTATATCTTATGGTTTTATAAAAAATACACAAATGTCTCATGGGAAGAATGCTGCTTCAGGAAAGCGTTATTATATCAGACCCAGAGTAGCATCTCCAGTAATAATTTAACATTTTACATTTTATATTCCTATTTTTCCTATATTTATTTATTTATTTGTATTTTTTTATTTATTTTTTTAAACCCTTGCTGCACATCATTTCCTGCACCTACTGTACTATTTTACTTCTGGTCCATGAAGCAGCTTTTTTTTCCATTTGACATCTGTGTATTTTTATAAAAGCATCAGATATATTTTGTGTCCGATGAGCTTGAAAACAACGAAACTTAAGTCGCACACCAAAACTTTAGTATATGTATATTTATTAAAATACACACACACACACACACACACACACATATATATATATATATATAGATAGATAGATAGATAGATAGATAGATAGATAGATAGATAGATAGATATATTCACCCGCTGAGACGCTAATTTCTATTAAGTGTTATAGAATATGTGAAAAACACATTGAGGAGAGATAACAATAAAAGGACAGGAATTAAGAAGACAGAAAATAAAGATGGCCATTAAATCATGAAGATCAAAATGAACGGGTAAACAAGGAAAGGAAGAGAGCTACACAAGCGAGAAGTACGATGGAATAGAACTTACGGTTGCATCTATCCATTTCAACTGCAAATTAATGAGACCTTGCCGCCATTTTAATGCTACTTTTAAATTTTTAATGTTTAAATACCATAGAGGAATGTTCGATTAAACGTAAAATGGTGATAATTACGTAACTTCCACCTTAATGAAATTTACACTTTGATTACATTTTTTCTCTGTTCAGTTCTGTGATTTCTGTTTGAATCTCTGGGATGAGGATTTATTATTATTTCAATTATGTACACGATTAATATTGTCCTCATATTTTCTTGTTGTTATCACAACGCTTCAGCCATTGTGCCTTCCCTTCTTCATCAAGTGCTTGTTGATCCTGGTTAAATACATAGCATTTCGAAGTGAACTCAAAGATAAAGACAGCAGCTAGCCTGTAAATGTAAATAACAATTGTTCGCGTTATACCTGTTTTCTGTCGACGCTTTTAGCTTCTGACAATTCCTCATTGTTCAATTTTTGGCCGACATCCATCATCGGAAAAAGTTGTGCTTGATGCTGTTACATAAAAGATGTATGATTCCATACATCCGTGGCTCTTTTGTTGTCTTGTAGCTAATAATAATTAAATGAATTCTGATTTCCTTGGAACGATATCCAGGAGCACGTTTTCATTAGATTATTTTTTTTTTAAATCTACCGTAAGCCAAGATGTCTAAATCATAACGGGGTTTGCTTCACTTTTCCCCAGTATAAAATTGTTCTGTTCGAAGATAAGCTTGTAAATATGAATACCGTGACTGGTTGCACATTTTTCACCCACAAACTGTAGTCAGAATAGTAAAAGTTGCATGGATTCGGGTATTGCTTTTCATAGGAAGCAGTTGTAATTAAGTTTTGTGTCAACAATATAATACAAGAATTGAAACTTTCGTATTTAAGTACGCATTTCAATTAATCCAGTATTTCTCCACTTATCCTTGACCAGTCTTATAGATCGAACGGCGTCGCCTTCTCACGCGAAATGGGAAACTTAAGTTGTCCTTCTGTGGTATATAATCGACTACCCATAATCCTCTCTGGGGGCTGTTGTTTAAATAACTGTTTGTTGCCCCAGACTTTTTCCCCACCTTCAAACCAGGTGCAAGTGTAAGGTTACGTGCTTCATTCTTCGCCGGTCGCTAGCTTGTTTTGGTATGAATTGCGTGCAATATTTATTCCACCACTATAATGCATAGATTCTTTTGAATTGGAAGTATGATGCAAAATTTCGTTCCTACACACAATTCTTGACATATTTAATCTTGTGCTAGTTTCACTAAATATTAAGACGTGTATTTTCCGGCTGTTATTTTAGTATTATATCTCGGCTTGACCAGGATCTTATCTAGTGGGGTGTCTTCTGGAACAGAGGGGAAAATAGCAACTATCTCAGCTACGAGGCTAATTATTTCATAACAATATTTATTTATTTTTATCACATATTGTTTTTTAGTTGCCATTAGTTTATATCCAAATGTTTCTCTAAAGATCTTTTTTTCTTATTTAACAACCCTATCTAAAAGGTAAGAGGCACGGTTGAGTAGCGGATTAGGATTGAGAAATCGGAGAACCGAGTTCGAATTCCAGTCGAATACATTACATTCACTTACGTGCTAATACTCTTGGAAAGGTATGAATCGTCTTCTTCGCCCCACCCCCGATATGGGTAAATAGCAGGGCCGAATTCTATAGCCTAGGATTGGAACATACTGCGGGAAAAAATTTGCCTAGTCAGTCATGTACCGTAAGATACATGATCCAAAAGCTGAATAAATATTCGAGCTCAACTCAAACAAAAGACAAGAAATAAATTATTAATTCATAAGTAATATCTGAGATTTATTTTCTTACAAATTACGTACCAGAGGAAGGTTAAGTAATGAATTAATCGAAATGTATGTACATCAAAGACACGAACAATGTCTATTGTCTGCAGAAAATTTTGGAAGCCAAACTTTGCCGGATTCAACCATTTTTCCGTGGCAAGAAAACTTTTCCGATTTAATAAAAAATGAATAAATGGCGTTCATTCTTTATTATATGGCTTTTTTATTGGCATGTTTCTGTCTGAAACAATAAATAAGCGTTACTCATTCAGAGTCTAATTAAATCGTTTCATTAGTATTTACCTACAATCTTGAGTCACGTTTAGAAAAAAAAAAAAAAAAAAACATCGGAGAAATTCATATAAATGTTAGGTATGTCGCCAGACACTTTTTAGAAATATCTAAACTATCAGTTGCATATAACGGCTTCGTAAGTACAACGGGTAAAAATGCATGTATGCGAGGGAAAAAAATCTTTTAGATCTTAGCGAGGATAATCTTTCGTCGAACTTCGTGAACTAAATCCCACACAAGAGAGGAATATAACAAATCCCCAAAACATATTATTTACAGGTTTTCACAATCAGTAGTCAAATGGATGTCAAATGTTACTCGAAAAGAAAATAATGACATAATGCGTGGGTGGAAAGAGCCCCTCAGTGTTGAAAAGAGCTATAACAGATACTGGAAATGAGAAACCTATTTTGCTGAAAAATTGTTTTATTATAAAGATTTAAAAAATTCACCCGACATTAGCACTGGCTGTTCGGTGTATGAATTCTGAATGTTTGTTTATAAGGAAAAAGCTGTTATCAGTTATTTTAATTACCATAAAAAATTAAAAATCCCTGATGAATGAATAAAATATTTTTTTAAAATTCATTTATTCTTGTACAATGCAAAATATTTTAGGCTTTTCAAAGGAATAGTAACAGTTTGCATCGAACGGATAGGAAAAACTTGAATAAAACCTGAAACAAAGAAGGAATTTTAGTAATTCTTTTTCATAAGCCAATGTTTCTTTTTTGTCACATTTGTTTCCATAATTATTAATCGACAGTAAAATCACATTATTCAATACCAGAATAGGATATTAAAAATGGTTCGATGGTAGCGATTTCAATATTCACAAGATTTTCTGTTACTGAATCATTATGCGAATTGAATAACTTTTACTACAAATCTCCACGGAAAAGAATTTCAACTGAATATTCCTTTATATAGTTCAAGAGATGACGTTGAGATAGTTTACACAAAGTTAATATATGAAGATAACTTTGCAGGCAATTCTTCGTGTTGATTGCCATTACCACACTAAATCTTGTGACCTTGCGCTGCACACACACACATACATACACACACACATATATATATATATATATATTTATATATATCTAATTAGGTATTTTGTAGGTATATATATATATATATATATATATATATATATATATATATATATATATATGAAATTAAATGTTTAAATTGATAACATTCATCATTTTTAGACATCTAAATTTCTATCAAGCATTGAAATCTATCTTTTACATAATTTTGTTAAAACAAAATTACAGCCTCTTTCGATTCACTTCCCTCTCCCCCTCTCTCTTTGCCGTAACACTCATTTAGATATATCTGTATTACTGTTGTCTATCTCCTTTCCATTTTTCCTTTTCTTTTCCCCCACTACCCTCCCATTCCTATATATCATTTCCGTTAAGTTAACCATCTAAATAGGTCACTCCTCCTACCCCAATATAAAGCATGCTTAAGAGAAATATGAAATTAACCCCTCCCTATACTCTACCTTGTCTCGTTAACTACAACTATCACCCACCCTGTTAAATTACATAAATTACACAACCCATCAATTTCTAATCCCATTTTTCCTCTCATTTCATTGTTGGAAGTGTTACCTGATGATCCGGAGTCCTTTAAAAAGGATTTTGGTGAAATAAATTATTGTAATGGTACCTTAAAGTGGTCTGTTTTTTTCATTATATATATATATCTTAGGATTATCGCACAAACTTTCATAACTGAATCAATAAGATGTCATATCCTCATACGTCGAAACCGAAAGGAGAGTCCATTATATATATATATATATATATATATATATATATATATATATATATATATAGTTCAACAAAGACGCTTTGGGTCACAAACACAAAAGAGAATATTTAACATCGAAAACATAAAGAAAAATATTAATTATTTTTCCTAATATGTGGAAATCTCCACCCTTTGCCCAATGACGATCGCGAGACCGGAAACCCGTGTAGCAAAATTATAGAGAATAAAGCACAATGTATTTTAAATCCACATTACAGCCAAAAACGTTTGCGGTTTCTCTCTTCTTTTTAATAGACAATCTTTTCTCTCGTTGGAACTACTATAACCTCCTTATTTAGATACTGCTAAAATTCAACCAATAGTTGATGCAGGATGGTATCCTTGAATTTGTTTTCATTTTGACTTTTATTTATATATATATATATATATATATATATATATATATATATATATATATATACGTTTTGAAATATCTGCATTGTTCCTGCTTATTTTAAAAATTGTTTTTTATTTTTAAACTTAACGAGAAGCACAGAATTTCTTTTTATTATTATGGAACTTGCAAGTTTATTTTTTTCTGTCTCTGTAAATAGACTCGACATCTTGCAATCCAGAACAGCAAATTTCATTTCTTCCGGAAAGTTGAACACTTGTGGTTTTTGTTCCCAAATCATGCAAGATATCCTGTGACATGTTATTTATATTTTATTTAAATTGACACATATTTATAAATAATTTGCTTTCACGGTGGTTCTATTTTTCAAATAGAATATTTTGGGAAAGATGATTGTAGTAAACCTAATTAAAGAGACTAATATATAAAGTTTTATATCTCGAAAGGAAAAATGCACATTCGAAAAGAATCTAAAATCTCATTTTTTTTTTCTTGGAAATCGATGCATTTTACACATAGGACGTTATACAGTGTTTTTTTTCTTATAATAAATACACTGTCTGCTCTTAAAAGAAATGCTTAAATTTACACATTTTTCAAACAACTTTAGTGATGAAAAAGTCAAGACTAAAAGATTATTTGACAGAATTATATTTCTAATTACATGCGTCACTGATATACATAGCTTCTATGGCGTCCAAAATGAGTTTATTCGATCAACTGAGATGATTGAATTCAGACGTCTGAGCGTATGCTTCGATATAAGATCAATATTTCCTACATATCAATAACACAGTTGGAGTCTATGTATAAATATAGAATTATGTGCATATACGCTCTTTCTTCTTTTACAAACGCTTTGTAAATATGTAGCAAGCATGTCAGATTAACCCTAAATGATAGCGAAACGTTGCAACATTTTTCAGCTACGTTTTTTTTTAAATTAACAGAAAAAAGCAAATCAAGTTGGACGCGTCAGATTTTTTAAGTTATAAAATACATAATTATAGAGATTAACCTCAAGGTAAAGGTTATAATATCTGTAAACCTAGTGAAAGAGGCTTTTCTTCATGCCACTTCGTTGTTATAAATTAGGGTCGTACTAGTGTGTTGTTTGGTTATGTTCAGGTGAATTCTACGCTTTTGCACATATTAGCTCTACCCCTTTTTTTTTAAACCCAGCCATGAATCACCGTTCT